TGTGTGGGGGGTGGGGTGGGGGGGGGGGGGTCATTGTGGTGAATTTTTGATGTCGAAAGTACGACAGGTATTGGTACTCCATACTGGTGAGTACTCAAAGAGTGCTAACGGTCTGGAAAATCATCCGATGTATGTCACATAAAAAGTAAATTGAACATTATTGTAAGGCAGCATAACATTCTGCCTGCCCCGTTTGAACATTAACACTATGCGTCCTTAAATCTCGGAGAATAAAACCAAAAGTGCTTGCAGTCAGCGTGGCTTCTTGTGGATGCTAACTCTGAACCCAAAACAGTTCCACAAACACACAAAAATCAATACGGAATGGATGGAGGGATCAATCAAAGTTTCGAATTTGAACACCCAAATGTTGGAGTAAGAGTGAGTGAGCTTTCCGACCATCACCACTAGATGGTGATGCAGACCAGCCGGTGGACAGCAGCCTGCAGCTCCTCCCACAAATTCCACTTGTGCGTCATTGGACTGTGGCCTCCTCTTGCCAAAACAGTATGGAAAAGCCATTCACACCTCTTGACCTTTTCTTTTAAAAGCTTTTCAAATGAGAGACCCCTTCCTCCCCCACCCTTCAACTTTTGCGATGGGGCTCTCCCCGGTTCATCTGCTGGCTTCGGCCTTTGCTTTGCCACAAAAAGGGCCTGCCTGCCGGCGCTCAGATGTTCTCACTCGCCCGCACTTAATATTCACCTGCGACGTGCACGTTTTCTTATTTGCGTACTGTTGACATCAACACAGCCTCGACGCGCGGGCGCATCTGAGGAAGCTGACTAAGGCAATCTATTCTTTCCAGATTCAGTCTGTAATCCCGCCCGGTTACATTTCAACCACCAGTGACAAAAACTCGACAGGAAGCGGGATTAAACCCGACCTGAGCGGTCGTGTCTTCCTTGCACTGATTCCGCCGGGTAGCACTTTCATAAGCGCCCTGTAGCTAAATCAATCCTAATCGAATTAGGAGCGCTGCGCGGGGTTTGCAAGTTAAAGGTGGGGCGTGGGCCTTGAGCTCAGCGAATACAGTACACAGTATGATGAATCATCGATTAGTCACCACGCTTACTTTTTTGAACTACTGGCTCACTTGGTGGCGGCTTAGCGAGAGCGCTGACCTTTTTCGTCGGGGTCGCCGCTTGATTATGAGATGAAGAGCAGTCACGGCATCGTTGCGCCAGATCATCTTCACCTTGCTTCTGCTCTTTTTTCCCCTTTCACCTTTGTCTGTTTCAGGAGAAAAAACAAAACACGTCAAGTGCACAGCCTCTAGCTTCTTCAACAGACTCTCTCTCTCATTCGCTGATGTGGCCGAAAACTTGATCATTCAAATACACTGCATGACTTTCTGACAAAACTAAGTTGGCAAAATGCACAGCTGTCGAGTGTCCATCTTCCGGAAAGGCAATGGCAGGAAAGCATGAATAAAGATGCTTGTTCTTGTCACATTGCCATTTTAAGATAAGGCACCCCACCACTTAGTCTGATCACCTGGCAAATGGAAAATCCCTGCCTCGGCCTGCAGAGAAGCTCCGCTTTCAACGCTTTTGATCACAGCGCGACGATTGACCTTGATTTTTAATCCCCATGATCCCCTCATTAAGGGGCAAAAAAAAAAAAAAAGTGCAAGGGCCAAACCGTGCGCTCATTTTAAACTGCGCCTTGAGTCTTTCGGCTAATTTGAATCTGAACGCAGACTGGATCTATGTCATGAATTGAAAGAAAAAAGGGAGCTCCTGCTGGGTTCTATTGTGCCAGAATAAATCAGCTCTGGAGGGGAACCAGTGTGTAATTTTAGGTGAAGAACTGCTCTCTAAGCATTCCCAATTAGGGTCCTTGTGCGGCAATCTTTCAATACGCTCAGCTCCTCCGTTTGGTTCCTGCTTCTGAAAAATGACTCTCGCAATACAGTAGAATTTCTAAATTGGGCACCAAGAAAAAAATGGTGTGTATAGAGTTCATACTCCATTACCTTATGCCTCAAAATTCAAACTAAAAAAAATGTTTACGATGTATGCTAACCCCCCGGCCCCCCCACCCCCAACAAAAAAATCTGCCAATTTATTAAACTGCCACTACTTGGACTCAGCCTGAAAGGGTAAATTTTCTACGTTTGTGGCCCTTTTCACTCGTTATTGTCTGAAAAGAACCAGACTTTCAATCTTGAGGCGGCAGAGTGACGCACAGCTCCCGCAGAGTGAGGAAGGAGGCGCACTTTCGAAACACTTCTCGGATCGCTCAAGAGAGTTAATCGATTGTCTAATTGGTTGATACTGTGTGAAGATAAGACGACGTGGTCTGGGAGAATTTACCCGACAACGATGATACATTTTAAAAAACAAACGGAACCGGTGTGGTGATCCGTTGTTTTGGGGAGACCGAACGGCACCTTTCACTGAGCCCGATTAGAACGCCCTGAAAGATCTGTCCACCCTGACGGTAATATGGCTCCCATTTGTTGATAGCAGTTGCATGAAACGGCCTTCGGTCCACCCTGTCAGCTGCTCTCTGCGGAGTCAATAAATGTTACAACACAGAGCCCAAGTGTTGCACCTCCGCTCAGGCTCAGCAGTCTGCCGGGCCTTCCTGTCAGAGGCAAAAACAAACAAACGAACAAAAAAGACCGCTTCTGCTCCACGCTGTCGATTCTCAAGGCTTAACCTCTCGCTTCTAAGTTGTGTGACTGACAATATTGGCGCATCGCCGTAAAGATTATCGGGGAGGAGGTTGGCAACCCAAAGACGGTTAATGTTAATGACTTGACCTGTTCAAACAGCTCGTAAGATATCCATACGAGAAATGCGCCCTTTTATTTATTTTTTTGCTGGATTGTCTCCTCACGAGGTTGCTTGGCAACCGGTAAAAGACTGCCCCTGGAAACGGAGAGGCCCAGAGCAGACGAGATGTAAAATGCTCATTAGCAAGCGAGGGAGGGTTTTTTTTTTTTTTTGATTCATTGTCATCAGACCAAAAGGCTACACCCGGCGACACAATAGTCAATCGCCATTACTCGTTTTTAATACGCCAGCTGTCGACGGACGCCCCTAATGAATGGCGTGCTTGGAGAGATGATTGAAGGTGCAATTGTGCTCTTTGGTTCACAATTGGACAGCAAAATTTGCCACTGGCTGGTGAATTTAGTGTCAGTTTCACGTCAAAATCCATTGGAATGCTTTGCAGACAAAAGCAGTTTGATCACCTAGCAGCCAGAGGAACATTAAGACATTAATATTAAGATTAAGATATCCTTTTATTTGTCCCACACTGGGGAAATGTACAGTCTACACTCTTCTCCAATGCCAACACATCATGGCAGCGTTCTGGCTCCACACCGCGAGAGAATAAAAAAAAACGATGTGAATTCAAATACCTCCGTGTTTTTGAAGGTGCCTTTAAATGGTTACAAGTCAGGTTACGAATCCACCACAATGTCGAGATTAACTTGCACATCTGAGCCACGTGACTCTTTGTTCGACATCTCGTGCTTTAAGTCCTCCAGACATGCGATAACGAGCTTCTCCCACTTGCGAACGACCTCGCGCACGACGTGAAACGCCAAAGAGCATCTACGCCACTCGCTGGGGTCACAGCCTCCCCGCGTCACCCGGTTGAATTTTAATCACGCGGCCATCTGCCTCTCTGTGTGTTTGCCTTGATCCGCGCCCGCCGACCGGCAGGAATTAGGAGCCATTGACGTAAGAGGGACGGGAGTTTCCTCGCTTAACGGGTTTACTCAGCTACGTCAGCGCCAACACTTTTACCCCCCGAAGCACGTGAGGGTCACTCACACTGCGAGCCGGCGTAACATGATCCTTAAGCCCTGGTACTGATGACCAAAAATGTGTTAGCATGTAGTCAAATATTGATTTGATCGGTGGTTCAAAAACCGGGATCCAGGAGGGTTTTAATTCGCAGTAAATTATGCTCTGCCTGTATCTCTGTTTCAAATTAATGGTCTGCTCATAATCTGTTTCACCCTACCATAAAAACAATCATTTGTGTATTTTTTTTTTTTTTAAAGAGCACTCATTAACTTTTATAATACAGAAATACTGGTTGACATGAAGGAGAACTTCACAACTGTTCAGTAGGCGTCAGTAATTTTAGTCGCTTTTCACAGAGGATAAATAATATATGTCTGTGAGTATTGTTATATTTCCTGTCAAATACGTCATAGTCATGAATCTTATTTGAACTTTCCCTTTCGGCAATCTCAAAGTAATACAGCGTAAAATATGTTTTTAAAAAAAAAAGTTGTGAGTGTGAGCAGGCAACAGCGCCTCCTACCGCACCGGGGGATCCTTGCAGCATGCGACATGTTCTTGGGGCGAAACGCTGGGCTAGCTCACCATCCATGTCATTTGAGGAACGGGAACCTGATCTGCGTGAAACAGGACCAATTATAAATGACACCTGCAAATCATATTTCAATCAAATCTTAGTAGCGTGCATACAGTCAAAGCTCAGATAAACTCGAGTCTATAATCTGTACTCATTTCATAAATCAGTACATTCCTCAAGTGCTAATTAAATGGCAACTGTCCATTTAAATACCCAAATAACCAAGAGCATTAGTACACAATGACAATAGATCACAGTCATTTGAGCGAGGGCTGGGGGGGGGGGGGTAACCAAAGTAGCATCATTTATGTGTTCAACATAAATCAAAGCATCCCAGGACAATTTGAGTTCTATCTCCATATCTGGAGCTAGCGGCTAGCATACTAATCCAAACAATTGCATGGACTCACAAGTTCCCTCCCTATTTTCTAAGCAACCAGCAACGCGGCGAACAAAAACGCCTGCGGTAGAGTCGCCAAGGAGTTGAGAGCATACCAGTCGGGTCGAAAAAGTGGGCGAAAAGAGCACTTTGGAAGCAGCGACCTGCAAAAGTTCCCAAGGGGACGTCGACCACACGTGACGTCGCCAAGATGCGCCGGTGTGCGCCTCGCGCTGTCAATTCACAAGGCGATAGAAATGTTCACGTCAAGTATTCAAGAAATGAAAGGACACGCTACAATAAAGTATCAGATACCATAATATCTATAAGAAGAAATTGACAAAAATCGCCAAGGTTACACGAACTCCGATTGAGTTAGACAAACTCTTAATTCATTCGTTCATTTGCCGTTATTTTTCGCCTACACCTAACGAGAAGACGAAAACGTCTAATACGTCGGCTATTGTCTATTGTTAAACACATTGCGCCAGTTCTTGTTTGTTAAAAAATACACGGGAAGAAGAAAAAAGTAATCGCATATTAAATCATAACTGCAATACTGTAGGAGATCGCAAAATCGTTCATCTCTACCTTACACATTTTAATCCCGATTGAGAAGAAAAAAAAACCCTGCTCGACATTATGCAGTACACATGGACAATTATAGAGTAAAACAAAAAATGAATTCGAAAATGATCAATTTTCACATTTCTATAAAATGCAAATTTAGAAGTAACCTGACGTAGTATCCGATTAATATCCCTCAACATAACTAAAATCAATGTGAATGTATCGTTTCATCATCGGGGTGTGTGACTAAGACAAATGCAATTTAGTGTCATCACACTAAAGCACCAGAGCCTGCAGGGCTTTTCCATTGCTGCCCTTGCTCTTCAATCCAGTCCGGCATGTGAGGAGAAAGTCTGTCCCGTGGCCCTACGCCGCCATCGGTGTCCGTGGCAGGCGAGTCGAGTGAGAGCGTTGCCCTCCTGCTGTCGCGGGGTCAGGAGCATCGTTAGCCCTTGTGCCAAGTTGGGACCTGTGACGCACTCGCACCCGCTGTTGCAATCTGGAGGAAACCCGAGCTGATCAGTGCCGCCCTAAGCTCGTCTAAGGATCACGGGAGGGCCGGGCGGCGGCCGGAGGGGAAGCCTGAGGGGATTGACGACGACCATGATGATGATGATGATGATGAGGCGAGGAGAAGAAAGGGCACTGAGAGCACGTTGGGGTGGGGGGGACGAGATGGAAGGAGGCAGTTATGAACAGCCGCAGGCAATGGACATTACTCAGAAAATTGTAACAGCTACATTTCTCAGCTAACCTTTAGGAAGAATGAAGAAAAATACACAATATGGAAAATGTATCTGGACTGCCTGGCGTTCGCGCCGTCTTTTTAAAGATTAAATCGACATGGGAATTGAACCATTCAAATAAGTCTGAAAATAACAGCCGATGCTTACTTGTGGTGGGAGTTCCGTTTGAAAGAACGTTTGGGTTCAAGCCCTGTTGGACAAAAAGACAATCAAAAAAACAACAGAAGTGGGCAAAAGAAATGGCACCTGAGGAACTCCTACCCCTCACGCCTACGGGACGTGTCGTCGGAGCCTTTTCTGACAATTTTCCTTCCTTACATGCAGAGCATGAAAAACACATTGAGAGTTTGCATTCTCGACTTGTCTTTCTTCAAAGAGAGACAGACGGACGGACGGACATGACATCCCCGAGGAGTTCCACGTGGCTCAATCCTTTGCCCACTTCTTTCCTCCCTCAGTGTCGTTCAGCTTTGCCGACGAGATGCCAGAAAGCTAAAAGAGAAAGACGAGCTCTGTGATGTGTTGTCATCTTGTAGGTCAGTTTCTGTGTGGGAACAAACGCTGCGAGAAGCAGGACGGCCTGAAAAGCTGGGAGGTGAACTTTGCCTATGTAGAACAGGGCGAGAAGAGGAATGCGTTGGTCAAACTGCGTAAGTTCCACAGATCAATATTTATGGAAAAAACAAGTGTGTGTGCGGATTTGCGCGTGGGTTGCCTTTTCCAAGAGCCGGCCGGCTCATAATGATCGTCCTTCAGGTATGATACAGCAGAAAATCCTGTTAGAAGAATGACATTAACTGGACGACCCACCGGTCCCAGACGGCGCAGACATCACGCACTCGATGACAATCTTTTCACAAGCTCATTCGTCAACCAAAACTAAAATAGATTCTCACATACGTTCATGAAACGAAAACGATTCCCGAGCGTGAATCTGATTTGCCGTACGTTTTTTTTGAAACAAAATGCCTTTTTTTTTCCCTTTTGTAAGACCGCTTTCATCTCATACAATGACATACAAATGTGCACATGACATCACATGACTTCGACACATCCATCACCATATAAATCGCAACTGACTGAAAAAGGTGAACTGGGGGTCTGACGCGGCTCATTTCTTTGGCCACTTGTCTGTTGCGTGAGATTGCCTTTTTGTCTTCCAGGACTTTGCCCGGAATGTTCTTACAAACTCAACTACCACCACAAGTAAGCATCGCCTTTGAGACATTCTTCATTTTTCGACAAGTCACATTTTCGGTCACCGCGTTTCCCTTTCCAGACGCAAAGAGGCCAAAGCCAAAAAGACGACGGCCCGAGAAGAGAACCGAGAGCCACCCCGGAAGATGAAGAAAAAGACAAAGAAGAGATCGGCGTCACGCTCCAAGAAGCACAAACGCCAGGGGCGCGGGGGTAACAACCGCCCCTCTCCGAAAAAAATGGCCACTTTTCATTTTGTTTGCTTTTCCAAAGCGACTCCCCGCTGATTGAGACCTACTCCTGTCTTCTCTCAGATCGATCCGCTTCCTCAAGCAGCTCGGAGGAGTGGCAGGGCAAAGGTAAACAAAGGCGCTCCCGAGCACATCTGCGCAGGCGTTTGTCATCTTCTCAGACAGACGGTGGATGATACGCGCCGCTCGCGGGCCTGCGGGCAGGCACACTCCTTCAAAATTGTTTGGAGTGAAAACAGCCTGCAAACAAGCCCTTCTGGAAAACGCCGGCCACGAGCCCGCGGCCGGCCGTGCCTGCTTTTTCTCAACTGTCTAGAGACACTCCCGTTTCCAAGATTGTGTTTCCGGTGGCCTGAACTAACGGCCCGCACTCAAAAGAGATTTATGCTTAACCCTTACGCATGCATGCCATTTTTTTTTTTTTGGACAAATCATCACCGCCTCTCAAATCCACGCCTGACTTGAACGCCTACACTTTGCAGACTCCGAAGCGGCGGACGAGCCCGAGTGTCAATCCGAGTCGGACCACTGGCGAGGACCCACCCCAGCCGTGGAGGAAAAGTCAAGGTGAGGCATTCGAGTTCACGTTTAAAACGACCCCCGCTAAGCCACCGTAATCCAATCGCACAAGGTGTGGCGTGCCGAGCGGGTACGGGACCACCCTCAATGACGGAAAAGTCTCAATACCTTCTTGACCTTCTGGAGTTGACTGCTAATTTGTTGTTTTGATTTTTTATTTTTTTTTTTATGTGTGTTAACTGTATTTTTGTAAGTCAAGCACTCTTTGTGAAAAGTGCTCCATGAACGTGCGCTACATTTTGATGTATTCTCTCCCCTTCAGGGAGGAAGAGTTTGATGACTACTTTGAAGACTTGTTCCTCTAAACGCCGACGCGGCCCGCCTCCGCTGAGATTCAAGGCTTTCTGTGTTGTTGACTAGTGCCGAAATAAACCCATTTCAACGTCATCTCAGTTTTCCGTCTTGGCACTGCTATCGTGACATGGAATTCAGCTTCACATGAGCATGTTAGCATTGGTCCAATTTGACCGAGCGCAGACGGTTGCCGGCAAGAAAACCTTTGGACAGCACGGTAACATGACTGCACTATTTTTAGAATGGGAACATTTCTGGCGGCTCGCTTTTTTTGTCGACTATCTCAGAACGACGACGGCGTCGCCTTACGGGATGGCGAACGCGGCCAGACAACGTTGAATCAGGCGGGGAGATCAGAAGCAATCCGCTGATCCTCTTTGGTGCCGGGCTCATCCAGCTTTGGAGCCTCTAAGATCCCCGCACGATATGCGACCTAAGAAGGAACGCTTGTTTGTGCTAAGCCCCACCGATTGGGGCTCGGGGTCGGGGCGTTTGCCTCATTCTTTGTGCAACCTTGACGTGCCTCAGTGTGCGTCATGAAGCGACACCTACAACTCCCTGCAGCTGTTTTATTTGCTGTTAAATCTCACGAACGACAGGTCCACGCAAAAAGTGGAGCCATGATGGGGAGTCATGCCATTTTAGACGCATGCCTCTTTGGCTCCTTAAGAAGCAGGGGGAAGTGCTTTCCAGGTAGGTGTAAAGCTCCCCTGATTGGATTAGGAACATTTGATTGATGTTGATTCGAGGTGAAAACATTGCGTAAGAAGAGGAAGAGGAGGAAGCTTCGGGGAAAGTGCAGGGCGACCCAGTTACGGCACCCAGGCAGGGATTGCGCCACCGAAACCGAACTTTGACCTGATCAGTAACACGATGCGCCTGTCACATAATCAACAGGACATATCGATAAGGCGTGGCTAGTCAACCCCCCCTCCCCTCTCCCTCCACAGCGGCGGTCTCCAATCTTTTTGGTGTCACGGACCAACTGAGACAAGTACAAGTTGTTCGCCGACCGACCGGCAACCATTTTTTCCCGTTGCTTTTAAGTTGCCAATTGTAAAGCTCTGCTACTAACAACAAAGATAATTAGAGTAATTCAACATTTTATTCACATCTTTTTTCCATTCATTTTAAACAGTGTTATTCTACTGTACAACAAATGCAGAATCAAATCAAATAACAGAACGACTAAGAAATGGACCAATCAGGAAGAATAATGACGCCCTGCTACTTGCAAACGGGACCGTGCTGTGCCCCAAACGACACGATCGATTGCTGCGTTCATCCGGTCGCTGCCGGCTACTGATGAGCGGCTAAATTGCTAAAGTTTACGTGGGCAGGCTCTGCAAACTCTGCTCGCCTTTTTTTTGGGGGGGTTTTTGCTCCGATTGGCTCGAGTCGCCCACGTTTCCGCCACGTCTGATGGAGCAAATATGCTCACAGAACAGCTCGCAGGTCTGTCGATGTGCCCGGTACCGGTGGTTGGGGACCCTATGGGATTGCCGCTTTCTCTTTTCTTATACAGGAGATGCAAAAAGGCTGGTGGTTTTTTTTTGTTTTTTTTTTTTTTAATTACATCTGAAATCCATTTCACATCTCAGTTATTTTTAGACAAACTGTACTGCTTTGTTCAAGTAAAGTCATGCAGGCAAAGGATTTATGTGGATTTTTGCCATCGAAATCATATCATGTCATCAGAGATAAAGGCTGACATGTTCTGGGTGTTTTGCATTGGGCCTTGGAAAGACAGCACAAGTAAAACAATTATTTTTGTCATCCGCTGGAGGTGGAAATAGAGCACAATATTTTGATAGCGATAAATAACATGTTGGTTACACTCGGATGTTTCAAACTTTTCTTTGATAGTGGTCAATCATACAAACTGCGCATCTGTGCAACGACTCAACGTGCTAATTGGCCAGCAAGCATAAACAGGATAACGTCCATGGATGCCGTTCGAAGAAGAAGAAGAGGTTTCTCCTGAGAAAAAAATGATTCCATCGTCCGACTTGTCCTGAAAGTTCTCCTATTGTTCATCATTGTTTTTGGAAATTTGCCTCCTTGGGTTGCTAATCCGGATGGAACTAGGTGAGACTTAAAAAAAAAAAAAAAAAAAAAAAATGTGGTCGAGAAGAAACCGGTAAGTTGGAAGTACTGCTTATAGATCCAAAGAGAAGGTTGAACCAGTCCAGCTGTAGTCCGTATCTGAGCATTGCGATGTAGAATTTAGCAGATTGTGCACGTTTTTGACTTCCCGTCACCACCACCAGCTAGGCAAAAAAAAAAAGAAAAAAGAAAATAAGCATTTTTTTTCCTAAAGATTTTTTTTTTCTTTTGAGTAACATTGTCCAAGAATGTTAACGCTTTTGTGGCAAGATGACATTTTTTTTTAATGCTACATTAAGGGAACGTGAATAGAATATAAACCAAGCAGGGCAGCGGAGGGCGCGGAGGTCTGCATTCCCGAGTTAATTGGTGGAGCCCGGGTTTCAAAGCAAACACAGCGAGGTGACATTTAGCTGTTTTTATATATATATATATTTTGTCTCCCTGATCTGAACATTCTCTGTATCATAAATATTTCTCTTGAAAAAATAGCCAAGTGGACGCTACCTCTGCGGGCTTCCTCCTCCTCCAGTTTCTTCTTCTCGTCCTCGATGGCCTTCATCTTGGCGTTGTACACCTCGGCCTGCTCGTTCCAGTGGGCGCGGTTGTTGTTGAGGCCGTCAAACATGGGCGTGATCTCCTTGTGGAAGCGGGAAAACTCCTGACAACATGGACGGAGATTGACTTTTAGTTCCCGGTGGAGAGCCCCGCCGCTCCCCCATCCCCACCACGACGCCTGTGCGGTCTTGTCCAAATACTTTTGTGATTGACAAATGGTTCGAGTTTTTTGTTTTGTTTTTTGAACAAGTGGCACCTTACCATGGGTAAAATGTTCAAATTCTGCATTGGGTGGGAGTGATGAGGCTCCCCGCGACTTTTTTGCGCAAATAGCTTTTCTGCCTTCTATCGCGGCCTTCTCGCTACACGACGCCACCGCCGCCAAC